AGATCAACATATGCTGTCTTACATTACCCCCAGAAGTTTAAAGCGCGAAGCACTGATTTAAAATGTCCCCCTTTTGTTCTACCCTCATCACAGTGCCGGTGTGGGTCGCTCTGGCACCTTTGTCACCCTAGACATCCTCCTGCGCAGCCTGGACCAGGGAGAGCAATTCCTGGATGTGTATGGCACTGTGGCTAACATGAGGGAGAGCCGATGTTACATGGTGCAGACCGAGGTAGGTCTATAAATCCCAACCGTACATGCACTTGTTGAATTTACGACTCGGATATAGTCAGAAGACACCCATCAAGTTGCGTACGTGACCTCTCTTCTGAAAAGAATTTAAACACTTGCATACAAAAACTGGGGGAGAGTCAAGTCCACATGATGCAAACGGATGAAGATCCAGTCACACAAAATAAAGGGCCTTTCATTGGCTTAGAACCAATTTGGCAAAAAATGCCAGGACTGGAATTAAACTTTGCCAGACATATTTCAATCATGCGATTGAATAATTCCAACACACTTTTTTCCGGTTCTGTGCTTTGATTTACTTGACTTCTTTGAAATTTTGGAGCAATTAAAGCCATTTTTGTCAACTTATACATTTGAAAACGTATTAATCACATCTGACTTAAAGTTTGTACTAACTGCATCAATTTAGAGAGCCCGTAAAACCCCCAAAACATTTGTGATCCAATAAATTAAGTTTGTCTACTCACGTTTTGTTGCAACTCGTATGTGAATATTTCAAAATGAATATGTATTAATGTGAATATGCATGAGCTGGTTAGTTGACCAGAGTCTAACTGTGTATCTTGATGGGGGTTTTGTTGCACATAGGATCAGTACATCTTCATCCACCAGGTGCTTCTGAAGGCAATCCAGAACCCCAATCAGCACCCTTCATCCTCCAGTGAGTAATCAGAATTTCTTCTTTTGAGAAAATCATGCAAATTCCTGACATGTTCACTGCTTTTCATGACTGCTACTTTAAGCAGAAAGCATAAATCCATAATGGAAATATGTTTCCAGCGCTACTGCCACTTTTAGGCATTCACCCCTCTGTGACACACGGGGTGAATTACAGTGTTTTATAACTAAATATTTGTCTGCATCTTAAACATTTTGATTGCACTTCTGAACCGCAAGATTGTTTTACCAGTTTACCAACAAAATGGAGCTACAATTTATAGTGAGTTACCAAGTCACCAAAGAAATTGTCAGCTCTGTACAGACTTAAGAACCTTGAAGCATACATTTTCAGGTATTTCTTTTCTCACTTAAGAAAGAGTGCACTGCTTTGAATATTTAATATCATCCGAGCTTTTCTGGACAATTGATGGTACTACAGCCGTGATGTAAAATGGGGAAAGCACTGTTCAGTCTACAGATTATCTGGTTTGTTTATAAACCCAAACTATGCCCATTCGCATCATTTCTGAGAAAGGGTTACTTCTTGACTCGTTGCTACGTACTTTCACAACAGTATCAAAGAAAAGAAAAAAAAGCACTTCAAAATACAAAAATGACAGCAGCTTTTGGAACACAGATTAATATGTCAGTAGGGTTTTCTCTCTGGAATGACCCCAGGTTTGCCCGTGAATATGGAAATTTAAATTTAAAGACATGAAAACCAGACAGTTGTCAAAATTCCTTTTAAAAAGGCCAAACCCAAATTTAAATCCATGCCAATTGAAGCTGAAAGATGCTTTTTATTGGTTGTAGTAAAATAATCGCTTTGCATGGACCCTTACGTTTCAATTTTGACAGATGCTCAGCTTTATTTCAATTGCATTATTTGTTCTTTTCAATAACTCCTGTAGTGATGAAGAGAAACAATCGACCTGATGATGACGACTTGAGGATCGACAATGAAATGTTTGAATAAGTAGAAATGTCATCATCTACCGCAACCTCAACAGGCAATGAAATTGTCTGCCAACTATATCCAAATATTTAGTCAAGTACTTTTGAGAATGTATACAAATATATGTATCTTTTTTATGTACTAATTGGTGTTGGATTGGAAACTCAGAATGTGATTAAAAGCTTGGTATAAATTGTATCAATTTGAAACAGAGAAAAAAACTGAATGATTAGAATTGCTTTTAGAAATAAAATGATTAACATTTAATGCTGGTACATTTTGATCGAGGTTTGTTTGATAAGTTGCGTGGAAACTAACTCTTTGTCGTAACAAAAGCCTGTTAACATTCACTTTGTTTTGAAAAAAACTAGGCTGGTCATATATTAAGTATTTTCATGGCATACACAAATTGAACAACTCATTATAACTGAAATTTTGGGTTCCTTAATGTAACAAATCAATAACTAGATTTTTCCCATAGAATGAATTTTTATATCACTTATTACTTAGTACTTTTACATTTACATTTGAATGTTATATATATGCTTGTATTAGTCCAGAAAAGAACAACTCTTGGCTCTGAAATTAAAGCAGGTCTTGCTTGAGAAATGTATGCAACTCTTTTAAATATTCTTAAAGCAACTTGTGAGAAAATGTTGCAGTATTCAAAATATTTGGCGTTTAGCTAAGTATCAGGAAAATGTAATTGCATCAACTTAGTTTTTTCTAAAATTTAAAGGTGATTTCTTAGCCTATATGATTTTCTGAACTGTTTACTCAGTTTGAAAATTTTATTGGACTTTATACTTTGTTGTATGTGTTAATATATTTTACTTACGAAACAAATTTTTTTCAGGTCTATCACTTAATAGCTAAATGTTGTATTCATGGTCAGAATATACTTTTATTGTACTTTTATGATACTATATTTTGAGAGATCTGTTTGCCTTAGTCTCTAACGCTTGACATACTTGGTTTGAAATACTACTCAAGTTGTTTCTGTGAGATTTTTGCATGTTCAGTTTTGCATGAAATTTTGTGAGATTTGTTTCCTTCAGCTTCTAATGCTTAACATACCACTCTGTTTGAAATAGAATCAGAAGTTCGAGAGATTGTTTCAAGTGGATTTTGAATTGTGAGCATTTTACTTAATAAAGCAGTACAGATGGATAGTTTTCTCTGAAACTTTGCAACCATGAATAGAAACATGTATATTTTTGTGCATCAAAATGATTAATAGTATAGAATTCTTGTTCGGAACTGAGTCCAGACTGACTCACAAAAGACAGAGTTCACAAAATCTGTCTTTTTATAATTATGCAATCATACGCTACTTTAATACATTATTAGAAATAAAAACTGGCAACAGTTCATGCTTCGTTTGTATGTTGTGTTTGCATTGTCGTTTTGTATTTTCTACACCGTTGTTGTGATTGCAAATAATCCTTGGAACATTTCAGCTTAAGTCAATTTTTGGAGTTAAAACATAACCACAATGTAATACTTCGGCAGCTCAACCCATCTGGTTGAACAGTAGTTCTTTTTCTTCTTTTTTGGAAGTAATGCGGGTGTGTTTGTTTTTTAGCTTTCCTTTTTCTACTCGACTGGATTTTATATTGACCACCTTGTAAGTAAAATATGCGTTTGTAAATCAACAGAAAAGATGCCAATATGAAGAATTTAAGTAATTTGAAAGCAAAGGAAATTGTCCACTTTCCCAAGTTCCCTTTCTCTTGATCTGTTCGAGTTGTCTTGGCGCATTTAATTTTTCAGTGCTACACACGCCAAGTTTTTCAACATCACCCGGGCAAAATTTTCACATGGGACGCACTTCTGACCGTTGCATTGAACCTGCACCATTTAACTGGGTTATTCGGTTTTTTTGGGGGGGGGTGTTAAGTTCAGTGTTAAGTGAGCTTTCTGAGGCCGTGTCCGAAACGGGCTTCCAGAGCTACGGCTAGGTCTGTTGTCTGCGTGTCTCCACGTATTTCCATTGGAGCGAGTACCTAGACCTAGCTCTAGACAAGACATTCGGATGCAGCCTAAGTATTGGCTTTGCTCTCGAGTTTACAACGCGTGTAATAAAGCCACGCCCGATCCAGTTCGCGAATAGGAAATTGTCTTCAATTGGCGCGCGCATGCGTATGATTTAAAGAGCAAAATGTACAACGTGGCGCTTGGTATTCAAAATGTCCGAATTTTGGACGTCAATTTTAGGCAGCAAACTTTAATTTTATCAGCAAGGCAGGCATACAGACAAAATGTGGATGATATACAAAGCGAGGTAAGTCAAGACATCTTTATCAAGTACATAATTTTGTGATATTTTGGACCTCGATTATGGCAGCCGTTTTCCATTTTGTTTGTTAATGTGCCACAGTCGTTGCTTTCCGACACCTAGTTCCGGATTTTTCCCAGTTCCGGATTGCTTGAAATAAAAAAATAGTCTAATTCTTCAGTTGTACATTCCAAGACAAGTTCTGCTGGAAAGGTGAAATGTAGGCTGCTTCTTGTACAAAATTGGTTCTCCCAAAAATTCTAGAAAAGAAATTTTGGTGAGACTTGAACGTTTTGTCAAAATTCGCGGGAGCCACAAAATTCGGGGAAAAAAATTCTGGGCGATAGGTCGCTCACCACGTGTGATTCTATGTGCTTTATTCATACTTAAACAGTCAAATAAACTTTTGCATCTAATGACTTGTAGAGTTTCCGTCTGTTCAAACTTGGCCAAAAATGGAACGTATATTATTAAATCCTAGTTCGGGATTGTGCATTACAGGGGTCGAAATTAACTTGAATTTCATGCTGGCCAGCAGGACCACCATTTAGAGAATCCTACTGGTCCTGCTGGTACTGGTGTGATCGATTGATCATTCACACATGCATAGTTCGGTGTGCGGTGTAGGGGATAGCATCGTTGATACATATAGCTCATTGCACAGCTGAAAAAGTCTAGTTAAAATTTATGCAGGTTCTACTTTTTAGTTCCTATGAATTCTTACATAAAATAATTTTTTCTAAATTAATTCTTCATTAGAAACTCAGCTTGTAAAAAAGGTTCTGGCTGCAAAATGGATTTCTCACGCAGTTACTGTAATTTTTATTTGTGAATAAGTTTTTGTCGTGATCCGGAACTGGTTAAACCAATACAGAACAGGGAAATGTATCCTTGTCACTTTCGTTAATCTTGTGACTCAAAATTAAAAGCGAGGATTTTAAAAATAATTAGGCAGTATCTTCAACACACAAGGCAGATTATTGACCACATTTCACCGGAATTTGAGGATTTTTGTAGCTTCAGTCTGACTGAATAATTTTCGTGATCCGGAACTAGGAAAATGGCTGTATTTTTCCCCACACTCCTCATTCAGCTTGATCATTGACAACAAACCTCAAATTTTAAAGGCTTAAAATTTATTTGGTCAAATACTGGTACCATTAACAAACCTTATGAGTAGTTTTAGCATGTTTAGTGCCATAAAATTCAGCCCAAAATTTTACAAAGTTACTGAAAGTTTGCGTCCAGAATGAGGGCACAGATTTGGAGTACCAGCGGGCCAGCCACTTTGTTTAGTAGGCCTATAGGCCTCCCACAACTTGCAGATAATTATACATGTACAGGTAGGCCTAGCAAGAAATACCCAACGCTGTGGGCTTGTGACATGGAGAGATTATGGAGTAAACTTTTCCTTTGGGGAAGAGTTCCATATACGGACACCAGTAATTGTTCCCTACAGTGACTTATTTGCCGCCAGAGAGCAAAAATGTGTCCAGAAAAGTTCCATTTAGGAAGGAAAAATCTAAGTCGTTTACTTAGAAAACACTTTATGTGACCAGTGTCATCTCAGGTTTGTGCACAGGGTGTCAAGTGGGTCCGTATGTGGAACTCTTTCCTTCCTCCTCAGAGTGGGCCAGAGTTCCATATACCAGGGGGAAAGAACAGAAAAGAGGACTGGTATAGGGCAAAACTTTTTGCCACTTTTTTTTTCCAAAATGGGAAGGGGCCCCTTCGTTTAAACCTGTTCTCGTAAGTTACTAAACCACCTTTCATATCTCTAGCCCCCCAAAATAATACGGTTCCCAGGAGCCTGTCTCCGGGGAACCCCCTTTGGGCCAGAGGGGTGAGAGCGTTCCTGATACCAGCGGAGTTGCTTATGCTGCGCGTGCGGCTTTGGCCCATTCCCAACAACGGCTGCACCCCAACCAATCAGACGGTGCACACGTTACTCTGGCTGGTTGTTTTGGCGCGTTCGCCACACTTCTCCTCTTTCGCCGAGCGCGTACAATTTGTAATCCTTTTTAAACCTGTCCGCTATCAAAATTTACTGAAAGTTGGTGGTGCCCGTATATTCCACAGAGAGATTCACCATACAGAGCTGGAAATGGAAAGAGTTCCATGATATCCTGTACATACTGACAACACTTGATGCCCCTGTGCACAAACCTATGAGATTTGTCTGAAAAACCTAAACGTTTTCAAAGTAAATGTTTCAGAATTTTCTTAGTTAAATGTCACTTTGTAGGACGTTATCACTTTTTGTCATAACAGTTTAAGGGAAAATTAGTGTTGTCGGTTTATGGAACTTTTCCCTGGAAATACTTCTCGTCAAAAGTGGCAGTTTACACTAAGGGGTATTTCATCATGCCAGGTACCCGTACCTACACATACCTATGTAAGCAGTCTCATGCATGTGCTTACATTTACGAATGCCGTAGAATTTCCTCTTTCATATACATGTACATGTATGTATGTGGACAATGCTTGAAACCCTGTGCACAAGCCCTATGAGACTGGTCTAAAAGCATTTTCTAAGTGATTACCTCAATATTTTTCCGACTAATTTGACTTTTTAGGTAATATTACTGCTTTCAGAATCAGATGGCTAATACAGTAGTTGCAGGATAAAAATTAGTGGTGGCCATAGAAAAAGAATTCTTTCCTTGGGGCATCACTGAATACATGTACACATGTTTTCCCTTACTGTTAAGGTATGTACATGTACCAAGTACACACTCAATCTCCATTTCAATGGAATGCTGATCAACCTGTACACAGTACACTGACCCACGTACACCTGACTACATGTTCATGTACATCTCTGGAAACCAAAAGGCACCTCCATGTGCCTTGGCTTTTTACTTTATGTGGGGTCGTTACTTATTTTTTTTTAAATCCAGCTTCTGAGATAAATTACTGGTGACACAAATTCCACTCTCCTAATCAAATTTATGCCTGAAAGCAATGATTTAACCATTTTCAGAGGTCAAGGTTAAGGAGGGTTAAAATCTTGTTTCACTGGCCAGCTACACAGCTACATGTAGCAAAGTGGCTGTCGCGTGTCCTGCTGGTACCCAGTCCAATCACACAGCTTGGATGATTGTGTTATAAAACATGTACAAGGGATTCAGTTAAATTTAATTAAACTTTTTTTAGAACTAAAGAGGAATAAAGTCACTTAATTAAAATTCAAAATGCATGCTGAGTGCAAACCCTGCACACGTACCATACATTGTCACTTGAACTTCGTACCCGAACATCTTTTGGACTTGATGAATATAATCTTTTTATTTCCTTAGATGTTTTTGGAACTTTTTAAAAGTTAACCTGGGTATATTGAACAAATTCCTTGCAAATAAATAAATTGAAGACTTACTGATTGTTGATAAAGAATAGTGCAATCCAAAAAGTGAAGAGCCTAGAATACCCTGTCATTCTGAAGTACAGTCATTTGCATGCATCGAGTTTCCACAGTTACATTATGAAGCCATAACTTTGCTGTGTAACATTGCAGGGTTATTCATTTTGTGAACTTTTTGCCCCAGGCGGCTGGTCACAGGTCAACGCTGAGCTTTTTGTCATCACTCAAGCCATTGACCTGACAGCAAGAGAACGTCAAGACTGTTCAGCCATTTGGCCATAAGATATTGGTGAGTGTCTCCATGGAATTTCAAGTTACTCCTTTAGAAAATCAGCTCCAATTTACGGACAGTAGGGTTGAAGAAAGGTTGGACTAAAATTCCTGGTATCTTTTCATCATTTTAGAGAATTGTGCATCTTAAAATTTATTTACAGAGGAAGCCATTGATGTTTGGTTTATAGTATTCCTACATGTGCTCACCCACAGAGCTTTGTCATTTGTTCATCACTCAGAGATTTATTTTTGGAGAGAAAAATAGAGGCATGATTACGTATGTACGTCTTGTTAGTCAAGGTATGACCACACTGGTCCAGTTGGCCAGTACAGTGTAGTTTAAAGTTGTGGTCAAGTCTTGGATCTGTAAGGCTCAAGTCCTACAAGTACGTGCACCGGTCATTTGGCAGAGACAAAAATCTCACACTGAAGGTCAGGTTTGGAATCACGGTGTCAAAATGACGGCTTTATGTGTCATGTGACACATGATGATGTCAAGTCGTTGTGTGCTACTGGTGTCCGTGTTTAAATTAGGGCTGGTTCTACAAATGAGCCATTAGGTAATCAACTCTGGGGGGGGGGTGAGTTCCTGAAGTGTACAGCAGTGAATAGACCTACAACATAATGATGAAGTGCAGTGTTTACTGCAGTGCATTGTGGGTAAAAGGTGGGAATGTTGCAGGAACGCGTCAACGTGACACGTTATGTGGAACGTGTACTATATGGCGTGTGTATCGACCTGACATGAAAAAAAAGGAAATAAAAAAATTCCCGATTACCGTCCGAAATGGTCAATGTGAACTGCTTTGCTCCATTGTGTTTATCAAGCACTCAACGAACGCCAGAGCTGTGTGTTTTTTTAACTTCCAAGGGACCGCAAAAGGTGACAGATTTCCATGAGAAATAAGGCCATTTATTTATTTTCGCATGGACCATTTTAATTTTTTTTTCTTCGAGTCAGGTCGATACACACACCATATACATGTAGTATACGTTACACATAACGTGTCACGTCAATGCGTTCCTGCAACATCCCCACCTTTCACCCAGTGCGGTAAACAATGCATTACGTCATTATGTTGTAGGTCTATTCAGTTACAATGTCTGATGAAATGAGGGGAGTCATGACTGATATCTGGAACACCAATGACCGTGCCCATCCTGCATCCTGATTAGAGCTGAATAATTGAAGGCTAAAACAGCATTATTTACAGACGTGAACAATCTTAAAATCCCAGTCCCCCAGTAATGAATGAAAAGTCGTAATTTACATGTATGCTGTAAGTTTTACCAAATTGGTGGAAGATGCTTAGTCACATAACTTAAAACCATAACCACGAAATTAAAATACACCATACATATACTAATATGTGTCCCACAGTTTCAAAGTTGGCAATTAAAAACGTCATTCAATTCCAGGCAGTCTCCTGGTGACGGACAAAGCATACTGTTAGAAACGTTTAGTGCTCTCTGGCTCTTATCAGATCCACACTATACAAATCAAAGAGATACATGTACACATGTCTTATTTTGCATTGTGCTACCGCAAGCCTACATGTATTTACATTGTACTTGCCACCTTCAGCATGGAAAACTTCAATTCCGTGACAGAAAATAACTCATCTCTGTTTACCTACATTTGCATATCAGTGCGCATGCGCGTCAAACCTCTCTGGAAAAGTCACCTAAGCCACACCCTCCACGCCCACTGTATGTCCCCCCTGAAAAGGCCCTGTAGTTCTGAGACTTGTCGACACATGTAGTCCAGATCGTGCAAAATCATAATACAGTGGAGCTTCACGTTCATATGCAATCTTGCTGAATTCGACAGAGACCTGTTCATTCAAGCCACGTTCCGGCAATTCTCCCGGTCCCTCCAGCCAGATCGGCCTTCCAGGCTGATGTTTCCACCATCACCACCAAGTGAGTCTAATATGCTGGGTTCAATGGTTCGAAATTCTCCGGGGCCAAGCCTGGGACCAGTCTCAACCAGCACTATTCCCTGGCAAATCCTTCACACCAGTGGTAACCAGATGTGAGCGCATGGAAGCACCAAAATCCGATGTCCATGTACATGTACAGGCAGGAGGGTGAGGCCCGACACTTGATGCAACCATACCGAACCATAGCGAGCAACTATAGCGAGCCCCACCCGGTCACGGAGGCCCGAAGCACCCCCACCACACACATCGTCATCACATTTTAGCCACAAGAGGACAGCTTTTTTTTGCAGGTCAGATTCAACAGTTTCAACCTCGTTCTCATCCAAGTGCTTGGCCTTTTTTTTCAAATGACCATTGCCCGTTGGGTACGAGCATCCAGATTTTTCAACAGTGTTTCCAATAAACTATCCCCATTTTGTAAAGCTCATCAGGGGGGATTCCTTCACACTTTCCAGTGGCCAATGACGTAACTATCCCTGCGGATGGTGGGGCCACTTCTCAGTGTTGTTTTGGCATGATACTCACACCCGTTCACAGCCTCACTGTCAGTCTCACTTGTTGGATTGACTGATATCCAATCCCCACTTCAGAAGTTGATACTGTTTCCCGAATCTCCTTCTGAGGCATCTTTTGCCTCTCATCTGTGCACCGTTGTCCACTGATGAGGATAGCCTCTGTATTCTTCAGCAGGCTAATCTATCATTTACAGTCATGACAGAGGTAGGTAAGCTTCAACCGTGTCAACTTCCATTCCTTGTCGAGGCTTTTATACTTGAACCAGTATCACTGGACCCCTACCAATTTTTATGCTACAACCCAGGCTCTTAGACAAGACCTTTGGCCTTAGACTGAGTTACCATTTGTGTCTTAGGGATGAGCTCACGTTCCCCCTCATTGACCGATGTGCCCCTCCCACTCAGTCTACAGTACTGCTCACAATAAACAGACAAACGGAACACAATCACTGTGGTAACATTATCACCGTTGTAATGATGTTTAAAAAAGCGGTAATCAAAGTGTCTTAATCAGCACGGTGCGTGATGCTTAATCCCTGCCGGCCGTCGTAAAATCTTTTATTGTTCATCAGGCCAATGCTGGAAAACTGCATGGAACGTTTTCTAATTCCCCGCGTAAACGGTACAATGACCACTTACTGCTTTCTTGATTCTTTGGCATTTCTTTAAAAGAAGAATGTACACATGTATATGTACTCAATACATTTATTTATTCACTCGTTGCCTAGTTCTTGGAATCAAAACTCAACACAGTCAGTTTTGGTTCTGTTGAATTTGGTGTTTAGGAATAAAACTACATGTATGCACAGTCACAGGACCAGTATTTTCAGGGTTCAGGGTTTGAAAATTATCCAATTTACATGTAAGTGCTGCTCAAACATTCTTAAATTCCAATGAAGCTGTTGTCATTCGTCAGCATTGCCTTACCTTTCGTCCTTCAGAGAACAAGGAGTCTTGTACTCATTTACGGTATGTCATGTGCAGCACTACATTCTACATGTCGCTTTGGTCACGTTAGGGTTCAAGACAAACCCTCGGGTACAAGGTCTTCCAACTGAGTTCCTGTGTGCACTCATGCATGGACCATGCTTTGAAGGTAAATTGGTCACGCATACTCAGTGTGCCCAGCGCATACCGCTTGAGGCGCCTTTCCATACATTGTATGTACGTTTTAGGTGCATTGTGTGCCGGTGTGTTTGTGAGTTTCACTTTCATGGACAGAGCGATCAACTCTGTTAAAACATACCGGTAACACTCATGTGCATTGCGTTCCTCTGTCAGGCTTGCTCTGGGAGTAATTTTGTCGAATGTGTGGCTCACGTTGGTTTAGACCCACAGTGTGGAAGGGTGCCTTAATTTAACTTGCGCACCGACGCAATGAGTTAGGATTGGTTTTTTCATTTACAAACAACAAAACAAATGAACACACATCTTTTGGATGGAATTTCAGGCTATTCAGGTGAAGGACGGTGCTGGAAAGGCTTGCGATAGCACCATGCTAAGGAATATATTTCTCTTATGAGTATTTGTGGTTCTGAAAAGAACCGGGAGTATACTGAACGTTTCGGACTGCGTGCTCAGTCCGTCGTTAGGAGACTGAAGAGATGTTGAAGATGGGGCTGTTTACATGTATATAAGGTGGCTGGATGCAGTGGGGTGTGATGACGATGCTACACATCTTTTGGTTCTCGCTCGGAGCAACTATGACTCGACTCATTGCAGCTCTAGTCCCTGTACCACCGCGCCTTCCCAAAGAAGAACTGGATAGACTTTGGTGATCCTCTGCCTGGTTGGTGTATTTTTTGAACAAGATACTTGTACATATAGTGTCAATACACTACACCTTGCATGTCGCAGTGGTGCATAATGCTGGACCCGCAGCATCCCTTATTGGTTACCGTTTGTCCACTAAATTTCGGCGTGGAGTGGCCCCCACTGGCTGTACCGGTACTTTAGTTACAGTAGCCTTTGCGACGAGTCTTCCTGCACATCCTAAACACGTCCACGTTGCACGGAAAGTCGTACAGGCTTATTCACAGAAATTGCTCCTGTTTACCTGCGTTCATGATTATATTTCGAGGTTGTTTCCTTGTAGTTTGGCGAGCATGTTCCCACAAATTTCCTTACCATGGCTCAAGGTTTTTGTCTGCTTCAAGGGTTTCATCATGGAATGATATGCTACATGTACAGGATGTGTGACCTTGGGTGACCAGTCTCGCCATGGGTTCCCATGGTGGTTACCTGACTGGTGCAAGTTGTGCATAATGGCATTGTCTTTGGAAATAAGGCAAGTTTTGTCACCTTGGTGATTTTTGGCAGTCTTTGTCCCATTTTATGCTGTTAATTCCACAAAACACACACACAAAATAGCACTGCTACTTTTGGGGTCCTTGTGATCAGTAATGGATGCAACGGTGCCCATACAACACCACATGGTAAATAACATGTACATGTACAGTCACTTTTTTACTGATATACTTACTGTACAACCGTTCAGTACACAAACATGTAATTACACGGCTTATTAAATAAGCAGTATTAAAAAAAAGGGGGGGTTGCAATTTCAAAGTTAAGCACCCTCTTGAAATTCAGGCGTTTTACAACAGTGAGCCTCCAAGAGTTTGCAAGGCGTTGACCAATCACAGTGCGCAAAATCAGTTGACCCAATGTGCGTTTGGAAAGGGTCGACAGATTTTGCACTCTGTGTTGGTCAATGCATTGTAAACTCTTGGAGGCGCACTATTGTGAAACGCCCGTATTGAAGGGACGAACACACTTTGTAAATTAATTCGTCCACAACACAAATTTTCAAAACAGCCTGGGGCTCTTTTCAGTTGACCTTCGTTCCCCTCTGGTATTTTGAGAGGTTGTATTTGAGGCCAAGTGGCCTTTGCCCATCTGCAGCCAATGGCTGTAGCCTGTTCCCTTTGATAACAAGATCCACCAGACCGTGCTGCATGAGGCCCATTGCCTCTAGACTCCAGACCGGCTGGACCTCAATCATTATGCTAACTTTTCTCTCTTCAAGCCACCCACTGGACAGAGGAAGACTTCTTCAGTTGACGCCCCACCATGGGGCAACGTCACTCCCACAGACTGATCCCTTCATTTGTTGCCCAACCACATTGAGGGGGAAGTCATGCCTGCACCTCCCCTTCCTGTTAGAATGGGTACTTCCAGTTGCCAATGAGAGACAGAATTATCCAGAATGTTCTCTTTGCCTCATTTTGGCTACAACAGCCTCAGTTCCCTTGCCTCCTGGGCCTACTTATTTATTCTCCAGTCAGGCTCCTCGACTGCCCAGACCTCCAGACTCAATTAACCAGGTCTCCAATTACGCATCTGGATCCAGCCTCCCTTCAATAGTGTGCTTGGATGATGTCACAGTTTCCCTCTGAGTAGCTGACCTCTGGGAAGTAGGTTTTGCCTCAGTAGCCCACGAAACAGGTGGAGCCTAACAGGCAGGCTTATGGTAGCTGGCTTCTCCGCTTTACGAAGACGACAGCTATCGATCCCAAATTCTTCATCCTCACCTACCATCAGGAATTTTCTTCTTTGGCTTACCTCTGGTCTTCAGATCATCTATTTCTTTAAACATTTAGGGGGATCAAGGTATCGTTCTATCATTGCTTCCCAAGCCTCCCATTGATCTAGTAGAGGCTTCTGCTCTTCTTCAGCCTGCCATTAAAATGGTATTTCTGATGGCTTCCTGAACATTTTTACGTGGGGGTCTATTCTGTGCCTAGTCCACAGAACCAGGCCACCTTCACCGGGAACCCACATGGGGTCTCTGACCGCAGATCATTCAACCGATTTCTTTTCCTCAGATAGCTTCATCCCAAGTTTGACAGCGATTTCAACAATGGCAGAGGATTTATGGTGGTCTCCCGTACAAGCTTCCACGTATTTCTTTGCTCGTATGCAGCCATTATGAGGTGACGTCAAGCAGTTGTTCATCACGACCATCCAACTACTTTGCCCGGCCTCTGTGACCACAATCACTCAGTTAAGATCGGAGGCAATAATACGTCTAAGTCCTCTCGATATTGAGGATCGAAAACAGGTGCCCATGAGACAAGCAGCACGTCAACATCCTGGGCCCACGGGCTTGGAGTTTCTGTTTCAGATACATGTATAATGAAAACGGCCTGCTGGGAGAATCTCACCTTGACTTGACGCTACCTGAAGAATGTGGTTCAAATAGAGGGTGTCATGAGCGGGAAAACCCTTAAGCAGGTTGGCCGATCAGCAGCCTCTACACCCCAAAAAGTTATCATTTCTCACAACTAGATAGGCAGCTTCCGGGAATGTCTAAACAACCTTTTTCGTCTTTGAATGGGCTCAGTTTAGACTTTCGTTACCCTGCATGTCCCTTCCCTCCCAAATTGTTACCTAACGGTGCTAATCTGTAAATGTAGGTAAACAGAGGAGAGTTGTTTTCTGTAATGGAATTCCAGTATTTTCTGTTCTTGTAAGAAAACACTCGCCTCTGTTAACCATCCCTCCCTACTCAAAAAAAAAGTCTGGAGAGAGATCTGAAAAAACAAAAACAAGGACGAGTCTTAGTGCTACACAGCCTTTTATGGGGGACATGCAGTGGGCGTGGAGGGTGTGACTTGGGGGACTTTTTCAGTGAGGTTTGATGCGCATGCACGCTGATATGCAAATGTAGGTAAACAGAGGTGAGTGTTTTCTTACCAGAACGGAAAATCCTGTTCGATCTTGAGAAATTGTTCACAGAGGTTTAACACCGTAACCAAATGACTTTTTGAGTTTTTCAACAAAAAAGTTTAGCAAATGCTGTGAGAGGAAAGTCAAATGTAAGGTGGAGTGCGCCATGTCATGGGACTCTTAAAAATAAAATGGGCACCCACCGGTACATGTACCTTGTATGTGTACATGTAAGCCGTTGAGCAACCCTACTCACCCTCAAAAAAAAACCGATCCCTAGCAAAGTTCAAATATTAATTTTTCGCCCTGAAATCTCACCAAGTTCTAGCATTATCACTTCAAAAAACTAATAAATTTCACACCGCTGGTACCTCCAAATTGCCAAAGCTATCAACATGCCCTTGGTACACCCCATGGTATACATAATGAACTGACAAAATACACACAGTTGAACTGTTTGAGTCGATTTTCCATTTGATGTAAATGTTTAATCAGAAAAGTGAGTGTTATTCACACGAAAGATGTCACAAGATACGGTAGTGGTGTGGTCCAAGCTGAGGAGTACTACTGACCATACACCGTACATGGAAATGTACTGTGTACTGTACATGTACATTGTAAAAGTCATAACTCGTTATTTTTCAACTTGTATATTTCTTGGATTCTCCCTCAGGTTAACAAGTGCAACTGCCTCATGTACATTGACATGCAGAAGGAGTGCCCTGTCCCATCTGGAACAACAGGGTCTCGGCTTTGGCCAAAAGGTAGGATTTTTTATTCTATTTCTGACTGCATGAAGATAATTTGAAACTTGGTAATCCTTTAATTTTATCTTATGGTGCGTTAAGCGTCATTCACTTTGATTATGTGAGCATTCCAAAAATGCTACGCCATCAAATCCTAAGAATATGTAAACTTGTACACATTGAACGGTCCATGTAGTCAGTCTACAGTCAGTAAGTAGTGATAGTACATCACCACTTCATGAAGCATTTCATATTATTACTACAGTGAAATCTCATCATGTCAAACATCACAGGGGTGGAGAGAAAAATGTGAAGTTAACCAAAGTGTGAGTTGAGCAAGGTTTCTGATTTGCCAAGAGTCAAGTCATGCGTGTTCCAGTACATGTACATGCATGACTCTTGTTGATTCAAATGTTGATTCACATTGTAGGAAATACTGTATTTTTGGTCACAGTGGACCACTTACCCAAAGTACCGGTACTTGCTCTGTGAATCAGGTTTTTTCTGATTTTTGTGCTCCTGAATTACATGTAATTGCTGTTTGGGCTGAAATCTCACCTGGTATATATAAGGTCGACGATCAGTTTAGAGATCTTTTTGGCTCATGGCAACCTATTTGCATGTTGATGTATGTTTGACTGTCTCAAACTTTTGCTCAAACCTGATGCAGCTGAAGCACTGGTAGATTGCTTTGCTTTCATGTGGCTCAGCTTAGATGCAATAGATCCCTGATGTACTGGTATGGTACCCAGTACCTACACGTACATGTATGCAAGCTCCGTTTTGCAAAGGTTACACCCACGTTGTACATGTAACTGTCCAGTTATTAACTTTCTCAGATGAACCCCTCAAGACTAGTGGATTTTTTCAAGGCATGATCGAAGTTTGTTTGCTTTGTGGATTGAAGTGCAATACTGATCCTTTTTTTTGGGGGGGGGATGGGATAGCTTTGCTGCAGTTACGCCTTACAATCAAAAACACCAACTCCATTCCGCCAAGTGCAGTTGGAAATACTTTGTCATTTCCCGGCAATATTCCACCACACACAAACAGGTTGAGCATAGGGCTGTATTTGTTCTTTGATGATAGGCCGCACTGCTGCTTTGGCAGAAATTCCACACCTTGCGATTACAGTCAATGAAACCAAGAGTTCACAAAACACTGACATCTTACGAAAGATTATAAGTTGATGTGTATTTGAGCTGGACAATAACCTCTTTTTAGGGAAATCGCTCCCTTCGTATGTGCCAGGTTAATGGGGGAAATTCTTTTGCTAAGGAAGGTCGATCCAGATTTTAAAAATATTTTTATTTTCAGTTTTGGATACGTGGTTTTGAATTCCAATTTCAGACGGTGAATTTTTTTCAGTATTTCGGAAATTGGGATTTTAGTCCAAACATTAAAACAGGGTTGCAGATACCGGTAGCATAGGAAGTGGGAGGTAAAGACTGAGCATATGAGCACATTCTGTTGTAACATACATGTAGCGCAGCAGGATTTCCCATGTGGTGACGGCAAAGCCCGAGTACGCAGTGGCCGAGCAGTATATGGTGCGATCATTTAACAAACCATTCGGTGATTTCACAAGCAGTATTACATCAACTGTCATTCTTTCTAGTTTGTGACCCAAGCTTTAAATGTCTATTTGAATTTGCTCTTTTATCTTCAATTATCTCTGTGGGGTTGAAATATACATGTATTTTTGCTTGAAATTCACTGAGCATTTGAGAACATGAACTGGGTGGAAATAATACACTTGAATTTTTTTCAGTTTTGTCAAGATTATGAATTAACATTCAAGAAAGTGACTCACTTTAGTCTGTATGCGTGTCTGTACTATTGCACTGGGGCATGTGGCCCAGTGGTTAGGGTTTGTAGCTTCTGATCATAAGGTCAGGGGTTCGAATCCAGCTGGTGGCAGCATGTTGCGATCTTGGGCAAGTTACTTTATCACTATGTGCCCCTCTGTACCCAGAAGTACCTGTAAACGGGTACCTGTGAAGGCAGACATGGTTATGTGTAGCCGTTTGCACCAAAATGGCAGCATCAGGCTAGTATACTCCCCAGGGAGCTGAGATGGTTTTCGGAATGTTCAGAGGATGTGAGCCCAATGTACAGGTATAATGCGCATAGACACATTCTGCAATATGTGCTATAAAAGAACTGACTATTATTATTATCGTTGTTTTCTGAGGTTTCAAAGGTCTAAAAATTGCAATGTCTTGATTATCGGAAGGCAACATCTGTAAAATGTCTCGCACACCACACACCATCTAGTTTCCTTATTTCCAATAAACATGTAAAACCACAGAGCATGGTAATCTTCAATGTAGTGAACTGCAATTCATACAGCGCATTCCCACTTGAATTGGAAAAAGGTGGATCTTGATCCAGCATTTTGGTGCGATTGTTATCTTACCGCAACGAAACCACAAGTCACGTTCCCACTAGCGCTTGATCCACCTTTTCGGACGGAAATGTCGAGCCCGAAAGGTCACTGAGTTCGGTATTGCACATGTGCTAGCTTGCCGAGCGCACGCTCTGTGGCAGTGTGGCGTGCTTGGGCGACTTGCCTGTGACCCTGCGGTGTTTTGGGTGCAGAGTTCTACTGACGTGATGACCTTGAATCGGACCGAATTTTCAGCCTAGTACGTTGTCTCTTCAAACTTTGCTTCCGTTTTTGGTACTCCGTCTCACATTGCAGGCTATACACTGACACGGAATTAGTTTTTGACGGAAAGCAAGTGAAATTACACAAATGAAAAAGGTTCAGAAACGGACAAATGCGCAACGAAAATTGTGAAAGGGCAAGGCACACACCACAGCATGCATGCATTGCGCATGCGTGGTGACACATTTTGCTAGCCTGTAGTTCAGCAGTTGTTTATTGTACAAAGCTGTATGATAGAACAAGACAGAAAGCACATTGTCCTGGGCACAACCTTGTTTCCCTCTTCATTCCGCTCACTTTATTAAAGACTGCAGCTCCACAAAATAAACACCTTTCAATTTTGATCCCTCAGAAAAATCTTTCCAGTTATTTAATTATTTGTTCACCACCAAATTGTAAAAATATAAATGCATATTTCTAGAGTTGACAATATACATGTTCTAGTACAGTAACGGATTCTTAAGAGACAAAACACTAAGCAAAAAGTATTTACTTCTATAAAGTCTCCAATGAGAATGGATAACAAAAGACATAATTAAAAATGGACAAAATAACCCAACAATCCCTCACCAGCAAAATAAAATAAATATAAAAGGTGTTCTGCATCAACAGTTCAGTCTGATTTTTTAGTTGATCCATCATGATGAAAACTTTTTAAAACAAACGCATGAAATCGAAACCAAGCTATTTTACTCAAAGTTGGTTTAAGAGAATGAGCAAGAAGAATTCTTGTTAAAGGCACAGTCCATCACTTGTCGTCTGTGTACTCATGTTCCTTTCAGGCAACAAAATTTCTCAAAATTTAAAGAAGGGTGCCTAAGAACAAACCTGATGAAGTTTGGGCTCAGTGAATATGGTACTAGCATTTTGTGAAAAACAATTTCTACCAGTAGGATTTTGATTTCAGATCCAAAGTTGCCGAGTCTTGCTTTAAGTTGTGACTGAATTCAGCATTCTCACATTCATTTGAATGCAGTAACGCAATGTCTCCCGCTGAACTGATGATCTATGAGTGTTTTCGAAACCAAAGGATTCGGCTTAGACTTTGATTTTGCTGGTTTCGGTCAGAGCTTGAACAAGTTGTTTCGAACGCTGCTTCGAAATGGCTGGAACCAGCAAAACCAAAGTCTAAGCTGAATCCACTTGTTTTGAAAACGCTCTATAATAACTGTGCTTGCGTGTCTTGTTAACGCTTACACGTGCTTCTGATGTCTTTAGACACATTGTTGGAAACGGTCCTCGTGGTTTTCTTCACAACAGCCAGCAGTTGGCCAGAAAAAAGTATTCACAGGGAGTTTAGTTCCATAACCGTTAAAAGAGTACTGTACATGTATGCTTTTCAACAGTTTGGTCAGTTGGTTTTTAGATTACTGCAAATGATGGACTGTACCTTTAAACAAATTTAAATAATAACAGTGACCGATTTCACATAACCCTGTTTGAACTGCTCTAGATGAAACCCTTATGGACACATTCGATCAAGTCTCGGTATAGCATCATGGCTGCCTTTAATTATTTGTTTTGGGGTAAATATGTCTCAGTTGTACCAACCAGTTATTCCACAAGTGTTCGAATTCTGTGGATAAAAATAAATACCGGTAACACCATCAAATTCAATGAAATCAAAATTGTTCACAAATTGCGGGATATAAACTGATTTCCGGCAGATTCCAGTAAACAGAGCCTACTTGTGAAGGGATTTAAGTTGAAAAATTTGACTAATTTGGAGAGCCAGCTGTGTTGTCAAAAACCAACTCCTAACGGAATCGTTAATTAGGACCTTACATGTACATATCGCTTTGTTGTAATAGCTTTTAGCCTGTCATTGACAGGTCAGGCCTTATGCCTTTAGTTTGATTTTTCTAACATTTTTTTAACACATTTAGAATTGAAGGCAATTCCAGCCACACAATTATCCTTGAGTCTGGACTGAGGGAGTTCACCAGCTGCTCGTATCCAAACCAGATTTCAATCATTTTCCTTATAAAAGAGAGAGAAAATAGAGCAACGAATTCTTCAGCCAGACACGCCAGACTAATTGTGGCATACAGTACGTGATGTGCGCGTGCCACAGTAGTTTGAAAAACCGTCCAAACTTTCAATGAAACGTGTACGTGTATCGTATGCCATGTCCTATCTAGCCTCTAGATGGAGAATAGTGCGTGGATTGTCACAAGATGGTGCTTCACTCAATCACTAAATGAATTTAAATGGAAAATACTCGAAAAGGAAATCTTTCCCGAAACATTTTGATACATTTTCAGCAATCTTTCCTTGATGTGCTGCATGATGATGAACTCATGTACATGTACATGTACGTATGTCACAGGTGTTCAGTGTGGTTTATAGACATTGAATACCAGGCTAATACTTTAACAGAGATGCACATGGATTGTGACCTTGAAAACACTCAGAATTGTTACATACACATGTACCGGTACATGTGCAGCTGGTAATATACATTACTATCGTGATATTTGTGGTGATTCATTTGGATGGTAAATTATGATATCAGCACAAGGATATCAGCACAACTTTGATGAAAACTGGGGACTGGTTCATGAACCAATATCCAGTGCAGTTTTTGTGTAAGAGAAAGAAATCAAGTTGATTGTATGTTGATGAAAATGACATTCTTTGGTTTCAGTGATTATACATGTACCGTACATGTTGGACATCTCACCAATCCGCAAACTCACCACTCCATCAGCCAATCAGATTGACTACCAAGAATTTCTGAATATATCTGGGCCAAATGAACAAAACACAAGTTCCAAATTGATATCTTTAACAGTTTTCTGTTATAGCCCTTTCAAAATCTGCATGCCACATCACCTTTTTGCACCCGCCCCAAATGGGTGATTTATTAGGGTAGCATCTTTGAAGGCCTATAACTTCTGAAGTGTTTGTACTTTGGTAAGATCCATGAAGGTACAGCACAGGCTGAGGGAAAGCTTATTTTTGTCAACAGTAAAAAATTCTTAATTGCATGATGTTTGTGTGATTCTCCTTCAGGTTGAAGAGAGACACTTCTTTCATAGATGCCTGCAGAAGGGGCGTCAAATCCACTTGGATCAAGACTTCTTGGACTTGTCAAAACGTAAGATATTTTATTCTACATGCACATTGTATTTATTGGCACAAGTATTTTGGCCAATTTCAGGGGTTTTGTACACTTCGGTGCTCACTCTGACTCCTTGCTGCTCTCCTCATGTCAACCTAGGTGGGATTCGAACCTGGGTCATGATTGGAGGGTAAGGTACATGTAGGTAACCACTTATCTGGATTCTTGAAGTTAAGTTTCATCACTGGCGATTATTACTGATAACTTAAAAAAAAAGACACCCAAACAACTCAGGAAAAACAAAGGATGTTGGAATGAAATAGAATTTCAGTCGAACTTGTTACTCATGTATTTATCACAGCCATCATTTATGAAACTGGCTCATTGGTTCTTAAAATGAAATGTCATGGTTATGAGAATTTTTTTGTTGTGCATATCATATAAAGGAGTTTCAGTCACGAGTTTCGATGATCAGCGTTCAACTTACATGTACCTGTACACAGATGTGAGCAGAAATGCGTGCACCATCTAAGTCTCTCAACATTCCGCCTTACATGGAATTGCAAATAGAAATACAGAGATTTGAAAATGCACACACCTCCACAGACGTGGTAGCGGTATGCTCCCTGAAATGCCTTGGCCTGTCATGTTAAAACATCACGTGAAAACCTCTTAAAAGGAATAAAAAGATTCCTCACTATCTTCAGCAAGGTACATACCACTCTGTTCATAGTATGTGCACCTGTACATGTATTTATACTGTGATTGTCATGCTTCTGTTTGGTTGGGAATTTGTTGTGAATTTCTTATGTCCAAATCTCATCCCTGAAGGCAACAAAACTTTCAAAATTGTTCGGAAACCTTGTGCCTTACTTAAATTCCGCCAGGATTCTTTGTGATTTCCATGGAAGGCTTCACTTTGAAACTGGAACTAGGTTCTGCGCAGTTAGTTTTTTAATCTTTTCTACTGAAAGTGAATTTTGCTTTCAGAAATTTTCCTTTTTTCCTGTTTCAAGCTTTCTCCTGTTCAACTTTATTTGTAGTTTTATTTTAGTTTAGATTTATTTTTCCCCTTTTCCCCCTGACTTGCTCACTCACTCGCCCACCACCCAACCCACCGAAAATATTTTTTGATATAGTTATCTGCACCTTACAGCATTCATGGTTACCATATGTGTCAACTGCAAAAGCAGGCATTTGCTGGCAGGATTGAGCATGTCCAGTGACCTCTTCCACTACTCAAATTCAAAATTTGACCTGCATGGCTAATGAGAGCTGTCAAGCTGGTTGCAGACAATGCTTAGGCAATGCTCTTTCTTCAGGTCTATGGCTTGTTACATAATAAGGTGCAGGTTCTTCAATGGTGAAAAAGCAGCATCCAAAAAGCCAACACATTTCTGTAGTGCATCATGGAGGAAGGAAAAAGACATGTACATGTACACATGTACCCCAATATGTACATGTACCTGGTGTTTGATTTGAACTGAGCATATAGAAAAGCTTGAACACTGACAAATCGCCTTCCTGGTTTTTATATTTGCTCTCTCAATTTATTATGGAAACTACCAAATTACATGCGTTTCAAATAAAATATCTTAAATAATGTTATCTATTTTGTGTTTTCTTGAGGAAAATTTAAAAAAAAAGAAAACAATTGTGTTGACAAGTTTTACATCTGGTTGTAATTGCATACTTCATTCTCAAAACATTTTGTACAAGAATTCCTTCATTTTTTAATTGCTTTTTAGAACCCCAAGAGTGTCTAGCACAGCCACAGCAGTTTGCCCTCATCGTGTAACCATCAACGGAGGTCCAGGAACCAGAAGAGGTCGGCGTGCACCTGCTCCACTTCGCTGCGCGTGCCGATGGCCATTAGGGAACACAGCACAGGTTGGTGGGCTGCATCAATGTTACATTGGTTGTACTTGTGACCGGCGGAGCAATGAATTCAGGAAGGTTAGAAAGGGGTGAGTTGTTATCAAGTCATTTTCTTCTTGTTTCAAGAATGTTTCATGTCACTTCTTACATGTAGATGCATGGATCCATGCAGTTTTCAGCAAATTTTCACGCGCACCACCAAAACGTCAAATCAGTAATTTACAAAGAAAATAAATTTGTCCGTTTTTGTTCCAGCTTATACCAGTTCCTTGCATTTTTGTACTATTCCAATTCAGTTGCTGCATGTACTAGCTGCGTTTTATATGCCCCACCAAACATCAACAGAAGTTAAAAGCAAGAAATCAAAATAAATATGGCGCTGTGCAAAACTGTACAATTTATATTGGTCAATTTATTCACACGTGAAAATCCTGGATCTGCAAACATGTATAATTTGTGGTTGTCAAGTTTCAAGTTTTTTTGGTCAGTTTAAAGTCACATTTCACATCATAACAATGTCACAAGTCCAGCTTCATGTTGGCATGTTTTTACTTCAAGAGTTTAGAGTGGACAGGTAACGTTGAACTTGAAGGAATACACTTGGCTTAGGAGGTGCTGCCTGTTGTCCGATTTTTGGATGAGGTCCTGCTTAGTCAATATCATTTTTAAAGTTTTAAGTCAAAATAGTCAACCAAGACATCAACAATAACTTTTCATCACCTAATTCTTCTTTTATTTAGTATCAACAAGATTTTATCAAAATGATTACGACAGTGGATCAATTCATTAATTTATCAACAAAATATTAGTTATTACTTGCAAACACTCAATGGGTCCATCTTGTCTCATCATTCCGAACCTGCAGTCGGAATTAAAAAAAAAATTTTTTCACAGCTGAACAAACATAATATTTTTGTATTCATTTACTTCATGCCTCGCAATTATGAAGAGTCACTTCTGGCTTTTTAACCCATACTTTCAAGGATTCTTACAGAACTCAATTTTATATCAAATTAGGACCTCTTCAACATAAATCAAGACCCTTGTAATTCAATAGCTGTATGTATTCCTTCAGGTTTGACAGTGCTTGTCCAATTTTTAACGCTTGAAGTAAAAATTTTCCAACATGACACTTGACTTGTAACTTTGTTTTGAAACGTGACTTGGAAGAGACTAAAAAAACTTGATATAGTACAGTGACATGAAACTTTCTTGAGACTTGAAGAAAATGACCAGATAACGACTCCTCCCCTTTTTGCCTTTCTTAATTCTTTGTTCCTCCC